CTTTGCTCGAATTGGATCGCGTTACGTAATATTACAATCATGTTTTGCGCGACTTTGACACAAAAGACTTTGAGACTCACGAACATAAATATAGGTACGACGAAAAAGTTAAGGTAATTTTATTCTTTGCTCGGGACCATAGTGTTAAAAATTGTCACGCGTGACAAAAAAAAAAAAAAAATATGTTAAAAAAAAAAAAAAAAAAAGAAGGAGGAAGTGCATCGGGAGAATATTACACGCGCTCGCTTACAAGTTGAATGACTCATTGGAGAGCCTTTTGATCGAAAAGATGCAAAGAAACGCAATCGCCGCGGTGGTTCCGCGTCAGAGAGAGATAGTAAGCCCGACGAGGTAGAAATAATAATGAGAGCGATTTTGTCGCTCTCGAACAAAGAAATCGGATATTCTTCTCTTTTTCGGCGTTCATATGCTCAAGTAGCTTTTCAAAGTCACGCGTGACTCGGGAAAAAGAGTAAAATCAGCGTACAAAGGGGAGGGGGCGGACGAGTTCGTTTAAATGTCTGATGCGGCGTGTGTTTCGTCAGCTATACACTCGCAGCTGATGGAAATGATCCTCTCTCCCTCTCTCGTTTGTTGTCTCAGTGACACCATCGTGGTATGGTTTTTTTTTCTCCCTCCACGTGCGCCTTCTTTGTTGACGATATGTGCGCCATCGGTTTCCGGTCTCTCTCTCTCTCTCTCTCCCTCTTGTGCACGAGAGGGGCTTTTTCGTGTATACCTACACGCCAAAAATGGCCTGACGAAATATTGATCTGCTTCGGTGGAGCTTTCGTGACGGGGTCGTTGGTGATGATACGTGTGGGAGGACTTGGGGGGTTACTCAATTGACACACGGTATTTCGATGGGCCGGGAAGTGTTGCTCATTCAATGTATAAATCAGAGGTAGGTCTCATCAAGCTTTCCCCGATTATCATGGTAAAAAAGTGGAAAGCATGATGTAGGTGAAGAAATAACAATAGTTTTTTTTTTTCTTTTTTTATTTTATCAAATACGAGTGACAGATTGTCAGGATAATATTTTATTCAACGATAATAAATATATAGTCATTTACTTTGTCGGACCACAATGTTCCACAATCACAAATTAATTAATAAATCGCGAGTTAATGTTTAAAAAGACACTTAACAAATAAAGTAATTACGTGCTACGAAAAATAGTGATGAGGAAGAGTTAACAAAGTTTGCAAGTAAGTAAGCAGCTGAATTATTTGAGAAACAAAGTGATAATTTGTCATCGCGAATTACCAGTGACTTAATTACTTTAGTTTTATTTCTTTTAATTTTTTAATGCAACGAATGACCGCAAAAAATCCTACAAAAAAACCCTACGATAGAAACACCCTTAATTCGAAATTATTCTTGTCTAAAATGCAGGCTTTCAAGATCCAATACTGAGCTGATGTTTCTTTTTTTTTTTTTTTTTTTTTTTTTTTTCATGTGTTTAATGCAGGCTGATAAATTATTTTTTTGCTAGTAGATAAACATGCTTTGATAACGTATGGTTAACTACACAACTTGTATTTCTCTTTCAGTTTTTTTTTTTTTTTCAAGACTGATAACAATGTTAATACAGCTCTTCATGAGGATTTCGAACTTTCTGGATTGAAAGAATCCATGACAGATGCACAATCAGACATTTTAATTTATCACACATCGTATGTATATCATAATGTTTACTTATATAAGGTTCGTAGGAAAGGTATGAGACTTTAAAAAATGTGTTCAAAGAGAAGACACTCTACGAGACACACGAGCAACAAGTTTATTCGTGGTAGTGGAAACTATTCATAAAAAATCTAATGTTCGTGACCCCAAAATTTGGTGTCAGTGATAAATTTTTTTGTTAAAGAAGCATAAAAAGTAATTTCAATGAATGATTCAAAACTTGATTGAGAAAACGTTTATTGTCTAAATAATAATCTATTTTAAGAAATGAGAGAAAAATGTAACAATGTCATGAGCTAAAGATGATGATGAACTGACCGCCTTTAAGAGCGTTATGTAGTTTTTTAATAATTTTTATAAATATATCCAACTGATGAATTCAAGCAACAACCACGTATGTTGCTTCAAAGTCACTTTCATTTTTACGCCACGTGGGTATCCATGTACATGAGTAAAAGTAAAAAGAATGCTTATAAAACTTTTTTGGAACGAGGTAAATTTTTTTTTTTTTTTTTTTTTTTCACTAATTCGAACAACATTAACTCTTTACGCCTAACACCGGATGTAACTTATTTTTAAAAAAAGATAAGAACAATATAAGGAAAATTTGCCGTTTAATGCAGTTACTCGAGGGAAAAGTACTTTATTCAAAATGAAGCTTTTTTTAATATTCCGTGAGGTATTCCACTTTAGCGTTTGTGAAAGAAAAAACTTTTACTTCTCATTGCACGAAAAATTGAACACCTCACAATTACCAACCACATCACTGCTTTAGCTAAAAAAAAAAAAAAAAACTAATCAATCGCACAGGAGAGCAAAAACAGGCCAATAGTGTTATAGATCAAATAAAAAAAAAAAAAAAGCGAACGATCTTTGGTAGGAAGAAAGTGCGGAAAACCCCAATTAGCTAAGCTAATTATCGCGGGAGAAGAACGGAAGAAGAAGAAGAAGCAGAACTAAAGAGCGCAAGCATCAAAAGTTGTCATGCGTGCACCATAGCCGTGTGATAAAGCTGCTCTCCCACGGTCGATGATCATTGGCGCGTCCTCTCGTCCTTGCCCGATGCGGATACTCTTCCATTACGCCCAATTAAGAGAGAAAGACGGCCTGCAGCCTTTAAACGCAATTCGAGCGCCTCCCCCCCTCTTTCCTTTGTGCGGGACCTTAAAGTGCTTAATTTTGCTCGTTTATTTTCAAACTCACCCTTACGCATGACGTAGCGACGGCTTGGAGTGGGTTTTTTCAAATTTTTTTCTTTCCTTAAAAAAAAAAAAAAAAAAAAAAGGAGTGTGACTCTTTGCGAATTAAACTGCCGGTTCCCGCCGATTTTATAATTAATGTACGAATTGTCTTTCGAAAAAACAGGAAATAACTTATCAGCTGAAGGAAGTGGCTCTCGCATTTGCATTATCACTCGGTGTGTTGTGAAAAAAAGAAAAAAAAAAAAAAAAAAAAAAAAGCTCACGATCAAACAGTTGAGTGACGAAAAATCGCGATCGACGAGCTTGTACTATAACGATTTTTCCATAAGCTTCGTCGAACCTAGTGTGTTTACATGATTGTTTGCAACAAATGAATTGTACTTTGATGGCCCAAATTATGCAATAGAGCGTAACAACAGTATAGGGAAAATCCTCGTATACTATCGTTTCTCGGACTCGAGTGAGTCGACGTGCGACTCGCACGGGGATGATGATGACATATAATGTAAGTGTGTATAGCCGCGCGCGGTCCGCGTTCAAGGTATCTCACGTATGTCTATAGGTAATGACGGGCAGTTCAAAGAGCGACAGACGAGTGAGCGCTTCGATTTGTGGACTTACTTGCATGTTTAATGTTTTACACCAAGTTTATTAACGCAAAATGGTAAGTGTATTTACTTACTTTTTAAACATTAATTAAAAGTAATTTATTCAAAAAGGGATAAATTCAATACGAATCGATACGAATGTTCGATTTTTTTTTTTATTGGAGGAAAAAATTTAGCACCCGTGTACGTAAATTTAATAATTTTTCAAGACCAAAAGTGCAATGGTCGGAATACAATTTTTATTCAACTCTATTAAGATGACTTCACTTTCGAGCAAAAGATAATTTGGCTCTGATTACGTCAGATATAACGTATTTTTTTGCGCTTATTCAATATTGTTTCTGAATTAGCAGGTCCGGCGTCATTTCATCGGTAAAAATACAAATGTATACTAACTCATGTAAAATACATATAGGTATTTGAATTAGCCGAGGCAATAATTTTATTCGCTTGCCATGGATTGCATGTGGTTTCGAAAAGTTGTACCCATCTAACTTGCTCGCTATACTTGTAATGAAATACCGGCGATTATGATATCACTCCGGGAACGGATATATATATACACCTTTTACCCGCTCGTACACACAATGCCGATTTTGTAATCTCATGTATCTTTGTCACGTAGCCTACTTGGGTGGTTTTAATGACTCCTGCTGCTGTGAATCATTATCGATTATTTATAATGATCTCTGTATACTTATTCAAGTGCGCACTGCTGCGCAGTGATCTTGCGCATAGATGGGGTTGGAGTCGGGTTATTCATCACGCGTCGAAATTAAGCCTTACAAGCGTTTGAGGATGACTCTTTTTCGATCAAAGTTGGTTCGCCTCGTTATTCATGGATCGAAAGAAGAAAAACTGTCATCACCCAGCAGCAAGTGCGTATAAATAAACATGCATGCATCATGAATGATATATAGTCATCTAAAATAAATAAATATAAAAAAAAAAAAAAAAAAACAACATCTTACTCACGCGTGAAAAAAAGACTCCCATCCGAGTTGAAGGCGTCGCTAATGGAATACAATGAACTCGATGGAAAACAAAAAGTCAAAAACCGCGCTCGACAACTATTAAACATGCAAACAAGGAGAGAGAGCCATAACCTCACATGGCGCGAAGAGGGTTGCGAACAGCGAAAAAGAAGACCGAAGCGTTGTACGTGTAGAAAAGCCGGTTCGGTTCGCGCCCTCACGTACCGCGCACGCTTGAACAGGCGGAGAGAAAAAAAAAAAGTCGCCACAGACTTTTTTCTCTGTAAAAATCGCTCAGACGGTTCGTATTGTGTGCTCGACCACGTGAATGTGTACACACGTACACACAAACACAGTAAACAACTGTCACAGGCAAAATGCGGCAACAGCGCGCGCACCAGCGGAAGCGCCACCACTAGTAGCGCCGCCACACGTCGACCTTAGCATTACACGATTGCGCGACGGCGGCGGCGCAGAGAAGCCAAGAGGAGGGGGGCCGTGGCGGTGGCTGGCAGCGCGTCGTTTTCGTCGTCAGCTCGTCAGTCTCGTTAGCACAATGGCGTGCACGTTACTCGGTCTCTCGTCTATTTGCAACTGCTACCGCCGACGTTTCTGAGCGGAGGTACGGCCCAAACGTGGGACCGTCCTTTTGAAGCGCGGGATAAAACAACCCTTATCCCATCACACACACACTACAATCTCTTCTTTCCTCCCTCAAAACCGTCTTCCGTATTACATATTATTTGCTTGCAACAATCAAGCATTTACTCACGTATTGTATACGTATATGCCAACCTATCACAAGCAGCCACCCTCTTTTTTTTTCGCAACAACAGCCCGTCGCTCGTGCCGGAGCGAAGGGAAAAAAAATAAATAAATAAAACGAGCGCGCTCGCGGAAGTTTTGTGCACCGAAGAGAAAGAGGAGTTAAAGTTGTTACGAAGTTTTCATGCTAAAAGTGAAGAAGACACCGGAAGAGGAGATACTGTAGTCCAGCGCAAGCGAGAAGAAAAAAAAATTTCGCGTCCATCCGGTGCGTGTATCGATCGTTATATCCTCGGTGTACACACACGGAGGACGACCAACCTCGAAAGGATTCCAACCGCGACGAGATCAAAGGAAGAATTCCTTTTTTTTTCGAGCAGACGACGGTCGCTAACAACGTTCTTGGAGCGCCGACTCTACATGTCATATGCCCCCGCTCAGGAACGTATTCGGCACATTTACGCAGACAAACGAGGTAACGTATAAAAACACACACGTATATACATATGCCTAGGTAGCATGATATGTGATGAAAAAAAAATAATAAGAATAATAATAATAAGTAAGCGCATAGTCGTCCTCCTCGCAACCGCTCGTGTACAAATGTGTGATTTTGCAAATAATCGTTCACGCGCGCGTGTGTCTCTGACGAAAGTTGCTCCGAGAGCTCGGGAGGTTCCCATTTTTTTTATGCTCCTCGCGCTCTATACGTCCATCGTCGTGACTAACGCTACGTATTAGTTAATTGCCAAATTGGGCAACGAAGCTTTTGGAGGTCGCGTTGCTCCAAAATTATTGCCGCCACCGCCTACATACACATCAACAACCGTGCAAACCAACTCGCTCTTTCTCAACTGGCATTTCTATTGTGGTCTTGCCCAAACGACCGACACTATTACATCTCGCTTATACCGTTCTACGATATCGTTCTTAAAAAATTTTTTTTTTTTTATTGCTCTCAAGTGAACCAGGAGGTAGTGAAATGAGCTTCGAGAAATTAGAGTGGACGAGAGATTGTGACACACTTTGTCGTATATACTCAGCGCGATGGAGAAAAAAAAAATGGCAAACTATTGATCCGACTAGCCTAGCGTGGGTGCAAAAGTGCATACTCTAGCTCACCCAGTATAACTGAGTACAGTAGCGAGAAAAGAGGCGAAAAAAAAAAAAAATGAAGAGCGCAAAGAGAAAAGCTCTTCTTTGCAAGCTCCGCCTCCTCTCTCCCAGCAGTTGTGAAATCAGAGTAGGTATGTTTACAGCGAGACGGTTCAAATCCAGTGCAAAGTGCAGTGTGCTCATACCTATAGTATACCTACAGATATTTCTTTTTTTTCTGCCGCAACTCCACACGTCGCTATCGAGCACATATATGCGCGTATACTTGATTATATACATACAAGCAAACTTGTGCTCGAATCATTTATTCCTCTGACGCATTTTTTTTCCATTTGCTCAATAAACACACACGCACGAACGTCCAATCGATAAAATTGCCGGGGAGGTCGATTATAAATAATACCTGCACCGTTTACGTTTGCCATAAAAAGTGATTTATCCGCTCTTCGGGTTTTTCATCCGGTTACACCTATTAATTACTTCACTCGCGATTGATGGACGTGCGAGGCGCGCGTAGTATGGATGATACGCAAACTGGGTCAGCGATCCGTTTCCGGTTTTATCCTGCATGCGCCGACATCCGGGATACTCTGTGTGCATATATATACACGTACACACACCTGTAACAAAATAGAGGAGGAACTTGCACTCGTGATTGCATTAAAACGAGAGAGCGGATGACGGAAGTGCACGGGAAGAGAGGAGCGCTGTGTTTATTTATTATTTACGCGACCCGGGCGCGATTTCGCGAACTTACTTCCGCTCCCGTGTATACAGGTATATTACACGGCATAATACTATTGTACAAGTATATCAGGTGTATTTAGCGAACGGAGAAGCAAGTAATGATAAAAATGATAAAAATATATATATATCGGGTCACTTGCTGCAACTGAACGCTCGTTGATTACACTATTTTCATGTGCGATATTAAAATATATCAGTTGAGTATATAGTATAACATAAACTGAAACTTTTATATTACATTGTACGCCGATGATGATAGCACTCAAGAATCTCTTTTATATGTATATATACGCGAGGTTAAGAAGAGGCGAGAATAAGAGGGATTCGTTTATTGACTCATCTCCCGAAATATGTATGTATGTATGTATGTATATACACAAGCGTACTTATTGGGAGCTTGACGATTTACGAAATTTTACGAAATGCTCCCTGCCACTTCTCTGCGGACTGGGTATACAGATATATAGTATACTAGCCGTCGATGTGGCAGTGAGGATGTTGCGCACATATACCTATTCTGTATCTTTTTTTTTTCCCTTCTTTCTATACATGTACATAATATCTTGCACAGCACACAGCTGCTCGGTTACAGCACAACATAGCCTCGGGGAGCGTGCTTTTTGAAATATATCCCCCCCGCGCTCTCTCTCGCTCTGAGGTTACGCGAGTTATTGCGATAAGCCGTCGTTTAAATTCAATCAAAGCCAGCAGTTTCGTGTACGCTCGTCTACTTATACTTATATAGCTCGTTGTTTTAATAAACTTTTGTTGACTTTTTCGAATCAACTTTTTCCTCCGCTGTTTTCGAGTTTTTTTTTTTTTTTTTTTAATTCGATCCCACACGAGCCGAAAAAAAAAAAAGAAAAAAAATCAAACGGGCATGTGTCAGTCATCATGGTTACGTTTGCCATTTAGGTAGAAACAAATTTACGCTGTAAGTAGCAACGCATTTGCCAAGCTGAGAGACAAAAAAGAAAAAAAAGAAGCCCAAAAGTCTCGTCCTTAGGGTATAATATGTACTTCCGCGTTGGTTGTTGGGTATAACGCACTGTTCTCCTCCGCTCGTGATGTTCACTCTCCTCCTCCCATAAAATTATACAGTGTATTATACGGTATAGCACATAAAGCTTGTAGAAAAATATAAGTGTTTGAAGCGAAGGAAGTCAACGGAGAGCAAAACACTTCCGGCTCTCTTTGCTCGCTCGCACATATTACGTGCAAGTGATGGTACAGTGCTCAAATATACTTATATTGCACACTTGCTGCATATATCGCACGACCACCGACGACTGAATATATATATTTTATATTTATGTACTATAATTATATATACGTACATAGTTACACACAAATATTTCCATACATATACGCATGTGTATACTTAGGTATACGTGTGCAATATGTAATAATCGATGACTCCCCAGCGCACCTTTTCTCTTCCCTCCGCCTTATTTTCCTTGCCTCCTCCCACAACCACTTTCATTGCTGTACCGTATACGTGTATGTATGTAGATGGTACTTGTATTTAATTGGGCTCGCTTATCACTTCAAAATTCAAATACTGAAACCCGTTTTTTCTCTCCTTTTTTTGCTTTACACTAATTATTGTGCAACATTGCGCAATAAGAAAAAAATTAAAAAATAAACAAGTAAAAAAACAAAGGTCTCTCGTGGGCTTTGAAAAAAAAAGTTTATTTTCTGTCGAGCTTCGTGAAGCTGTCCAGTCGCGTTTTGGGGGCATAATACTATATATATATATATATATATATATATACACACGTATACGCCGAATATAGCGAGCGGACACATGCGATATGTCTAATTGTATAGTGTGACCTCACACGCGTGGCATAATCGCGAAGAGAAAAAAAAAAAAAAAAAAAAAAGGAGAAAATGTAATGATTAAAGTATATACACAGTTAGTTGGCAAATAACCCCAATGACACATAGCACGGAGTACATACCAAATGGAAACACGTGCAGATTGTGCGGATGTATAAGGGCGCGGGAGTGAGGATGACGATGATCGAGCTTTACCACACACGTAAAATGTAGATACACGAGAGGAGACGTTTCGCGGGAGAGCTTGTACTTTATCCGCCATTTTGACCTTTATCGGCTATCTCGCGAGCGCTCTCGGGTGTACAGGCTGTAAACGGCTGGTCGCCTCGAAGGCGAATCGTCGCGAGAGAATATAATATATGCTCTTTCGTCACAACGCTTAGCATGCATATGTATATATGAAGAGTTGAGTCCGACGCTAACAGTTTTCGTTCCGCTCGCCCAATTTCATCACGTTTCGTGGTACGTTTCGTTATACCCTCTTTCTTCAGCCTCGTTCGTTCTTCTTTATACAGAGAGCCCCTTTTCTCTCTCTCTCTCTTTTTTTTTTTTTTTCTCTTTGCTTGGTGAAGCGGTGCCGATCTTATAACGCCTTTTTTTTTTTTTTTTTTTTTTTTTTTTTCCTTCTTCCTTTCTGTATGTATATCTGTCTCTCGCGCGCGCGTGGAATTTTGATTAATGGATCAGCGCATCGGCACTGAACCCGAGAGTTTCAGGGAATCCCGGAGAAAAAAAAAAAAAAAAAAACCCTTCGATCGAACAATAATTGCCGTTCGTCTTTGAGCGGATCATCTATCGTACGTACAACTCTTTC